GCTGTGTTGTGTAACGGCTTGGGCACCTCGTGCGACTTAAAATTGCGGTGTCGTCAGCGAACGTAGATGTTGTTAGCTGCTCGTTCGTGGGAAAGTCCGCTGTGTATAGGAGGAACAGAGTAGGCCCAAGCGCGCATCCTTGCGGAACTCCTGCTTTGATAATGTAGTCGTCGGATGTTGTTGTGTTTCACCTTACTGGGAAGGTTCTGTGGTATAGATACGAATCAAGAAGCTTGTGAGTGTAATCAGGCAAGTGTGTTTTGATTTTGTGTATGATACATCGAGGAATATTGCGCTGCAGTATTCCCGATGCTCAAAGGCTGTGCGTATTTCTGATGTTATTCTGTTAACTTGTTTGATTGTTCCATGGTTTTGACGAAATCCAAATTGATGAGCAGGGATAACATCGTGTGCTCCTAGACATGGTATTATGCGAGTTAGAAGTCATATTTCGAACAACTTAGACAGACACGAAAATAAACTAATTGGTCTGTTGGATGACGGAATTGTGTGGTCTTTCCCGGGCTTCGGTATCATCATCAATAGATTTTTTGCATTTTTTCGGATAGTAGCCGAGAGTTATGATCCCATTGAAGAGCTTACAAATAACCTCAATGGCAGAGTTTGGCAGTTCAATTAACTTTTTGGGGTTACTTGGTCACCGCCAGGGGCCTTTTTCGGTTTCAGTTCCCCAATGACTTTCGCGATCTCCTTTGGCTGAATCAATGGTGGTAGGGAAATAGATTCAGATTCGATTTGTGGTAGGAAAAATGATCCAGTGGCAAGGTTCGGCTGGAAGACGTTTCTGAGATATAAAGCAACAGTTTCGGCTGTATTTTCGTCGCTGCGGACCCAGCTGCCAGATGAATTTCTTATCGGAGTGACTGTTTCGATTGGAGAGCTCAGATTTGGGTGAGCCCTCCACAGAGGATGTTTTGTACTAGTTGGCGAAAGTCTTTAAATTAGCCGCAGCTGTGCATTTTCTGTTTCTTGCTTTAGAGCTCGATTTAGTGTGCGAGTGGCTTCCTTAAGACGTTGTTTTATGACGGCGATCTGTTGGTTTACCAGGCACGTCGCAGGACTAGCCGTTCAATTTGCACGTCCCTGCCTTGTGGTGTTGAGATAGTGGCTGCCTCCACGAATAATGCTCAGTAGAGCAGTCGATGTCCGCATCGATGTTGAAGTGAGGGGTTAATTTAATGTGTGAGCTTACATACTATTTATATTTTAACCAGGTGGTTCTGTGCGACGTTAGCCTGAGGGGGTGATCTGAAGTTTTTGTGCTTTGAAGAAGAGTTATTAGCACTGGCGAATGGTCTGACGGGGAATGTTTTTTGTCACCGCAAATTCTATTAGGTCTGGAACTTTCCTGGGGTCTGTTGGCCAGTATGTGGGGCTGCCAGGGGAAACATAGTCTAATTTGTTATTCGGTTTTATGATTGCTTTGTATAATTGCCTTCCTTTGGGAGTCACAAGGCGTGATCCCCAGTGCGTGTATTTGACATTATAGTCCCCTGCAGCTATAAAGCGATCTCCAAGCAAGTTGAAGAAGTCCATGAATTATCTTTCAGAAATTGTAAAGCAAGGCGGGCAGTAGACAGCGGCTATGATGAGGTTTCCGTTGCCTGACTGCACTTTGATAGACGTGGCTTGCAAGTAACTAGTTGAAAACCTTTGGTGAAAGTGGTGCTTGATGCGTTCCCTGATTAGGACGGCTGGTTCCGCCGTGGGCTTTACCATCTGGATGGTCTGTGCGGTAGAAAGTGTTGCCTCTTATTTGTAATTTGTATTTGTTTGTGAGGTGCGTCTCTACCAGTAGCATAATGTCGATATGATTTTCATTCAGGAACTGTGTTACTTCAAGGTTGTGCCGTGAAACGCCTTGGCGTTCCACATTGTTATTCGTAGATTTTCCATCTGTTATTTGGAATGCTTAGCTGCAAGTAGCTGTAACACCACGTTCTGGTTTTGAACCAGTGTTTGTATGGTCGTTTTCATGAAGGACATGAGTTCCATCATACTTTGTTGCATGGTGACCATCATAGATTCCAGAGTGCTTTGTGACTGTACTTGGATCTGCTGAGCGTTTCCTAGATTAGACTGGAGTGGGTTTTCCGCCCCTGATCGAAGGGCATCGGCGTATGAGAAGGCCTTCTGGGTATTTAGTTGACCAAATGAGGATCTTGGAGCCGTGCCGAAAAATACTTCCGGTGTCGTACGCGAGTAAGTGAACGCATTTTGGGTATTCTGATGACGCGTTGCTGTAACTTTTCGCATGCGGTCCTTCATCTCCTCTTAGATCGGGCAGCCCCGTTAGTTTGCCGTGTGATTACCTTGGGGTCTTCTTTGTTGGCAGCGCAGTTAGCAGAATTGTGGAAGTCTCCATAAGCTACACAGACTGTTAGAAGTTAACAGGTTATAAATGGAGTGAACTTCATTTTTCTTCAAGACTCTGATGCCTGGCTCCAGCTCGACCCTGAAGAGTGCGGCTCTTTTTTCCTGTTAATGTTACTGACGTTCTTTGCAGAAAACCCTTTTCCTTGAGAGCATTGATAACTTCCTTGGCGGTTACGTCCTTTTAGTACCACTTGCTGCTTTTTAGTTGGTACGTGTAGTACCTTTTCCTAGCTTCCTCAAGGTATTTGGATACTGCTCGGAAATGCTTTTTAGATTTGGTCTGAAGCTTGGTTTCATGGATATCCCCTTTTGTGACCGGAACAATATGAAAGTTTCCGTCCCCGGTCAGCGCAACAATTTTGTTGGTTGGGTCTCCTGAGCCTCTTTTGATTTTGGTGGAAGCATTTAACCGGCAGCGAAAAGATACACGTTGGGCGCCAATTCTGTTACGTAGGCATATTAGTGCCTGAGTCCTGATAAGGACTTGGGCCGAGGGAGAGGCGTCCGATGTTCAGGCACCATTTGCCGGCATAAGCTACGTCGTATTCGGGTCATGGGATCTTGGTAAGCCTCTCCCCTCTCCACATACCGAGAATAAATATTTAAAGTGCCTGGAAAGGAATATCAGTCCATAAAGTTTGTCAGTCGTCAGTCCACACAAGCTTAGCTGTCGCTTGATGGCAATACGATCGGGCTGTGTTTTGGCCATATTCCCTCCCCTTCACACATTCGTGTGCCAATGGATCTTCGCGGGCCGCGCAATACGATACCCTATTGTCAGGGTTGTCCGTCGAAAGTAAAGACATTGTTCTTGACCTACTCCACTTCTCGCGTCAGCACACCCCCTTGTCAGAGTTCTAGCACACCATTTTTCGGACTCGTGTTCACTTTATAAATGTATTTGGTATTATGTATCACTGTCCGCCGTGGATGAGTAACATAATGTTGGCTAATTCATATGGAAACTAATTAATTGACAATTATTTCGTCAGCGGAGAGTATCGAATTTATCACCTGAGAAGGTGCACACATCAGCAAAACCCTGACTATTCACGACTACAAACGTCGCTCAGAGGGCTCTTGCAATTGTAGGTACCACAACAAGGCTGATACTCGCCGCTGAAAAGTTTTAAAAGTTTATGTATGCAGGTTTTACCCCCTCTTTAAATCATGGGCGATGAGATCTCGACCCTCCGGATCCTGGGCTTTGGGAAAATATTATATTGGATATATATATATAAATATACGTGCACCAAAATACGGCTGTTTTAAGTATACACTTAAGTATATACACTTAAACACAATATACATATATATATTATGCCAGAGGCATGCGACTAATTGTTCATCATGATTTTGTCTACTGATTCGGTTGGTTTAAATGTATTTCAATACATGTTTGAATGCTTCCAATGATTTTTTGATTTTCACTTGTTATCCAATTGTATTGCTTTAGGATATTGGGCTTTGGTTAGGCATAGGTTCACTTTAGCTTTGATTGGCTCTATTAACACATTTATATTGCATCACTACTTTCTCCGAAGTAAGTTATTGGTCACTACGCTTTTGAACGGATGGCTTCTACAACTGAATTTTCAGGAGCATGGGGATCACTGGTACAGCGGCTACAAACATCACAGTATGTCAGGTGTCGTCCTTATGTTGATCCTCTTCACTTTCTTTGATGACAATGGCGGCTGGTCCGACACATAAGATTCTTTCGAGCTGCGATTTGTGTTCTCTTCAAGAACTGTAGGATATGGTGGCTGGTCCTGGTGGCAGAAGACTCCGTGGACGACTACCCCCTGGAAAAGTCGCCTTCCCTCGGAGCTGCGGGTTCCGTCAGCAAGACACCTAAATGGATTCTCTCTCTTTTCTCTATTTATCTAAGGTCTTTTATGCCAGACGAGCTCTTACTTGGCTGCCGGTTTGATCGGAAAAACTAGGTGTTCCCACCAAGGATTACTGTTTCTAGATATCTGCTATCTTGGGAGTCAACGGCCGGCTGTTGCCCTTTTCCAGCTACCGGATTATGGTTACCAGTAGGTCGATCGTGGCCCTTGTTCTGACCACGCGACACATGAGAATTGCCGAATTGAATTTTCTTCTGCCTTTACCAGTATGAGTCTGGTTAGTCACATGCACCCCTCCCCCTGGCTAAAGATTCGTCGTTGTTTCTCTATGTGAATCTTTCTATGTGGAGGGCAATATCGTGGACGGAAACCCCAGTAAATAAGTAGTCCCGGACAACCAGCGGGTATCCTGCAACGAAGCAATACCGACGATGCGAATTGTTCATCCGTATCTAAATAGTTGCTTTACACAAACACACTCCCAACAGAACACCTACCCATTTCCCCTCACAAACAACATCTCACTACGGGCCGAACTACGGTGTAATACGGACCGTGCCAAGAGTCAACCTGGCTGGGCGGACTTTTCCCCTTCTCCGCAACTCGTGGGACCAATATGGAATCAACAAATATAACTAAAAATCAAAACACAGAGTCGGGAACTCTCAAAGAACCCTCGGATAGGCTGAACACTGGTTCCAACGTCCGCACCAGCACGGTCCCGAAAGGGCCACATCCAAAACTGGGGATGACGGGTGGGAGAAAGCCAGCCGCGGACGCATCTGCGCCTAAAGCAGCGGTAGGCACTGCCAAGGCGCTCGGGCCACCCGCTGGAGCAAATAAATATACTTACGCAGAAAGGCGGACTGCCGCCCAGATTCTGCGCTCTCATAATAGGAGAAACGTTGCCACACCTTTGCCTGAATGGCTGAAGAAGGTAGAAGAAGGGTAAGCCCACTCAAGAAGGTGCTCAGACGAAACGGCAGCGATTCCTAGAGCTACCCGTACCATCGGCGAAGAGATCTAAGATCCAGCCTTCGGTCTCTTTCGCCGAGATCACCAAGGATCGAGTCCTACTCCGTCTTATCGACAGGGGCAATCCGGAGGGCAGGACTTCCAGAAATAAATGGAAGGCAGTGGAGTCCCAGCTTTCCCTCATATGCCTGCGCATGGTATGAGAAAAGCCAGGTTCATCGCCGTGCTGCATGGACGCGGGCTGGTACCAGGGCAGCGTCAAAGTGGTGGCCTGTGATAGTCAGAGGTCGGCTGACCTATATAAGCCGGCGACAGGCAAGCTCGGCGAGGGCGAACGTTGTTGCACTGACGTCCCCAGTAGGCCCCGAGCTCGGATTTGGCTCCCAGCTGCGATAAAGGCGGCGGAGGACATTCTTTTACATGCAGCAGGAATGCAAAGTCGTCAAGGGGATGTAAGCCAGGCGATTATGGTCCTAAACAAGGAGTCGGTTGCTCCAATCGAGGCTGCTCGAGGAGTGCTGAACTTCGGCATTTATGCCATTCATATTCAAATCTATAAGTGCAACTCCAATGCCGCTGGAAAATCTGCCAGCAACCCAGCCGAGCAGGTGCTTGCTGAGGAGTTGGAGGCACCTGGTGGGCCGGAGGACGGCTACTCGCTACTTCGCTACTTCGCTGAGCAGAGAAATGCGAGCGCTTAGACCGGCAATCGAGGACGTGGCCCTGAGCGATACGGAGGAGACCGACGTAAAGCAGCGTCTGCTGCACTATTGCTTCGCCTGACCGATGGCGGAGTCGAATAAAAGCTTATGCTTGACCCCAAAGAAGGTAAAACTCGAAGAGCATTTTAGCCAAAAGGCATCTTAGTATATTTCTGCTTCGCAATTATAGCAACGGAGATAACACCGCACTAAGCCTGGAGCTGCAAAGAGGCTCTATAAAGATACTATCGGCCTACTTGGCCTTTAAAGGAAAAAACCCAGATGCGCTAACCAGAGGAAGGAATGCGAAAAGCTCAAGAAAGGTTTGGCAATAGGCTGTGACGCCAACGCCCATCGCACTCAGTGGGGTTGCCCAAACAATAACGATAGAGGTGAGTCTTTATTTGATTCTATTTTAAATTCGAACTTATTCTTATGCAATAGGGGCCATGTCCCTACCTTCATAGCCAAAACTTGCCAAGCTGGATAGAATAGTAGATAAATTCACAGAAGCATGCAACACGGCCTTCAAAGTTGCATGCCCCATAAGGAAACCAAGGGGGAGGAAAAACCCCTCCCTGGTGGGCCCACCAATTATCAATCTTCAGAACCAACTCCACAGGCCCAGAGCACAAGCGGGAAACGAGGACACTAACTCAACTTTCGGTCTCTGTTGTACACGGACGTGTTTTATATTTGCTCCCACATTTATTCGCCTAGTGTCTAAATTACCGATCTTATATACATATATGCCCAAAGTTTACATTTCCAACTCGGTTGAGACCGCCGTTTGAATGCAAATTAGTTATTTGTGTAAAACCATTATCTTTATTATTACATTAGATAATAGTTAACGACGCGGGTGCTTTGTGCATTTTTCATGTTTCTTATTTACACCAGCTCTCATTTTCGAGTTAACGGGTCTTTGCTGAATTGGTCTTATCGCTCTCTTTTCTTATCTCTCCTCTGCGTTTTGCAAAGCCACACAGCTGTTTGTTGGCACTCATTTGAAGCTTCCTACTTTTTCTACTTATTCTACATTCTACATTTAACATACGTTCTTCACGTGTAAACAATGTCTGCCTGCTGTGTTACTGGTTGCCAATTTGTTGGCAAAATCACATCTCGGTAGCCAACTGTTAGTTTTTGGTTGTATGAGTACTTAGCGCAAGCTAATTGTGCAGACTGTGGGCATAGTGCTGCCCAAATTGCTGATCGCACTAGATCTAATGCTAACCTGGACTGGACGTGCCCTACATGCCAATCGATATCAGAGCATTTATGAGGCCAACGGAGCTGGAGTTCCAGCCATTACGTGCTGAATTTACGGACTTATTTAGTCGATTTAATGTCTGCGACTCCAACTTTAAAGGTCGGATTCTTCTAAGTCAATCTTCATTAAATATAAATCGTAGTCCTACACTGCCTAATGTCTCTTTACACGTTCCAGATCTCTCGACCAACCTCTCTATTCCCAGCCCCACTGCAGGCTATGTGTCGTGCGACGAGGACGATCCCAATGGGATCGAGTCATCAACGAATGACCCCACGGGCAATCGCTACCAGATTCGGGGACTCTAGTTTCGCCTGAGTAATTAAGGCCTACTAACCGTTTACCGACTGTTGCCACTTCGGGGGCTCTGCCGCACCTTGTTCTGCCTCTAGCTAATACCCTTGCACCTTCTCCTGTCCCACTTACTAGCATGGTCCCTAGGAAGAACATCCATAGCCCTGCTCTCTCTTCTCCGGTACCACTCACTGTCATGGTACCTAAGAAATCTATTTTTGTGTCTAGGTTGAATGCAGCAACAGTAAATGACGTGATGCATCATATTGTCACAAATTCTCCCTTCCCAATAAACATGGTATTAACATCACCAAATTTAATTTTAAACAGATAAGAGATTACTCTTCATTTAAAATACTTGTTCCGGATGGGCTGTTTTCTAAACTTCTTTGCCCCAATTTTTGGCCTGCTGATATAATTGTCCACGAGTATATAAAAAAAACAGCTCCCTTTCCATGACTTCTGTGTTGGCTTCCAGCTCTGATTTAAATTCAAAAAACTTAATTTCCTAATTCACTATCAGAATGTTCGGGGGCTTCTTAGTAAACTCTCTACGCTTTATATAAATAGTTCAATTTTTAAGGTCAATGTTATTGTACTCACTGAGACCTGGCTTAACCCATCCGTACACGGTAGTGAGATTTTGTCAATAACCTTTTTGTTTATCGAAAGGATCGTCAGACCCGTCGTGGTGGAGGCGTTTTTATTGGGTTCAAATCCAATTTAACTTCTGAGTTTGTTGATATTTCTGAATCATCAGGTATTGAATTTATTTCCGTAAAATTATCTTTCCAAAAAAAGTAACATTTTTTAACCTGCTCGTATATATCCCCTGGCTCTGAATTTAACGTGTATCTATTGCACCTGTCCGCCATACATTCAATCTCCTTGTTGCTTGCTAAAAATGACCAACTTATTATGCTTGGTGACTTTAATCTTCCCAATATCTCTTGGTCGGAGAGTAAGGACTCATTGGCAATGATTCCTAGGATGCAAAATGATTGTATTGATAGTCTTGTTGAACTATCTTTGCAGCAAGTTAACAGGATTCCCAATCATATTGGTCGTCTTCTTGACTTAAACTTTGTTTTTGATAATAGCGATCCTGAAGTTAGTCGTATTTCGCCACTATCTTTACCTAAAGATTGTTATCATCCTACCCTTCAGCTCTGTATTAATGGATTTTTTAACAATCCTAGGACTGCAATAAATGTACAGCCTAGTTTGTGTTTTAAGAGGACTGATTACGGCAGACTAGTGGAATCTTTATCGACAGTAAGCTGGTCCTTTCTAGTTGACCTTCCTGTTGATCATGCAGTTAGGTACTTTTATGAGGCCCTTTACCGTCTATTAGATGAACATGTCCATCTTTCCTCCATGAAGAATTCTTACAGCTCTCCATTTTTACCCGTCAACTATCTTATCTAAAGAATAAAAAAACCAGACTATTTAAACGGTTCAAAATATCCAGCATACAGACAGACTTCACCAAATATAGTTCAGCTAAGGTGGAATTTGTCCAATACAATTCTGACTGTTACAAAATTACCTATTTCGTTGTAAGCGTGATTTCAAAAGTAATCCTAAGCTTTTTTTTCTTTCGTTAATTCTAAACGGAAATCTAACTGCTTCCCTCCTTCTCTTTTTCTCAATAATAATGTAGCATCTGATGATAATGATATTTCCAACTTATTCGCAGGCTTTTTTCAATCGACATATGCGAAATGCAATAGTGTCATTAATAAAGATTATCCATACCCACTACCTCATTTGAACTATCTCTTCAAACCAGTGATTGATGTATCTGATGTTCTTTAGAGGCTTAATACTCTCAAGCTCTCATTTTCACCGGGTCCTGATAGAATACCAAGTTGTATACTTAGGAATTGTTCATCTTATCTTGCTCTTCCCTTAACATTGATATTTAATCTGTCCCTAAGTCAATGTAGATTTCCATCCATACGGAAGGAATCCTTTATTATCCCATTGTTTAAAAAAGGGATCAAGTCCGATATCTCAAACTACCGTGATATTGCTAAACTCATTTCTACTCCTAAACTTTTCGAAAAAATTATTACCTGTCAGTTGCAGCATCATTGCAGGTCTATTATTTCACCTTGTCAGCATGGCTTCACTAAATGTCGCTCTACTTCTACAAACCTACTTGAATTTACGTCTTTAATCACTAGAGGTTTTCTGACACATCATCAAACTGATGTGATGTATACCGATTTCTCTAAAGCTTTTGATTCAGTGAACCATAGGATTCTTATTTATAAATTGTCTCTTTTAGGTTTTCCACCTAACCTACTAGAGTGGATATTTTCCTACCTTTCTAATAGAACTCATATGGTCTGTTTAAATAATAAAATTTCCAAAATAATTAATGTTACTTCTGGAGTGTCACAGGGTAGCCACTTTTATTTTTTGGCTTAAGGATTAATGATCTACCTTATGTTATAAAATCATCAACTGTTTTAATGTATGCAGATGATGTCAAGCTATGTTTGTCCATGTGTTTACCTAATTCATATAATTACCTTCAATTAGATCTTGATTGTTTGCATGTGTGGTGCATGATTAACATGTTGAATTTGAACTATTCTAAATGTAACTTTATTACCTTTTATCGTTGTAATCCATCTCTGTATTCTTATTCTATCGGAAATAACGCCCTTGAACGATTTTTTTCTGTTCAGGATCTTGACGTTTTATTTGATCATAAACTTAGTTTTAAAGACCATATATCTACTATAGCTAACAAAGCCAGGAGTCTTCTGGCGTTTATGAAGCGTTGGTCAAGGGAGTTTGATGATCCATACACAACAAAGATTTTGTATGTTTATCTTGTTCGTCCGTCAATGGAATATTGCTCTTGTGTATGGTCACCTCAAATTAGCCGTTACCGATATATGTTAGAGTCCGTTCAAAAACAATTCCTTTTATTTGCTTTGAGAGGTTTAAACTGGGACACAGGAAGTCGATTGCCCTCTTATCATGCGAGGTTGCTCCTGCTGGACTTACCACCCCTGAACCATCGTAGAAAGTGTCATGGAGTTATGTTTTTGCATAAATTAATTAATGGTGATGTCGACTCTCCTTTCCTTCTTAGTTCCCTCAACTGGAAATGTACCCTGTACACAAGTTTTCGTCCGTTGTCACTGCCAATTTGTAGATCCAATTATGCCCTTCATGATCCTTTTTGGGTTCTTTGTGATGACTATAATGCACTGTGTCACGTCTTACTGTTTGATAGCCCTAATACAACTAATTATGATAAACTTATGTATGTTCTATCTTCCAATAATTTGTAAATTTCTATGTTACTAACCATTTTATGTGAGCATGTATTTTAAACTGTCTATTGTTATGTCGTCTTTTTCCATATCCGCGACTTCGTTTACTTGCCAAAATCGGTTTAGGGCTCTGCGCATAACAAGCATTGCTTGGTGTCGTAAGGGCCACTTGTTTGTACTGACCATAGTGCATCAACGTCCAAGAGCTGGCAAAACTACGAGCATGAACTAGCCTCTTACAAAAAGGCCATTAGAAGAGCAAAACGAACTGCATGGCAGATCTTCTGCTTTGGCATAGAAAAAACGACTGATGCCGCAAGGCTCAGGAAAGTACTCTCTGAGGCAGCCCCGCCCTTGGGCTATCTTCAGAAGGCAAATGGATCATGGTCAGACTCCAGTAAAGAGTCCTTGGACCTACTCCTAGACGCTCACTTTCCAGGGAGCCAACAAACAGGTCATCCTCCAGAAAGAAATGCCGGAGAAGGGATCAAACTAGATCTCCTCC